AACTCGACTAATCCGCCACATTACACAATTGAAAGTTGCATTAACAAAAGGATGATTTCTCGGAACCATGCCACGATTGAAAGACTACTCAATGGAGGTTTCATGTTGTATGATCACAGCATGAACGGCACATACATAAATTATATGCGCGTTTCGGGAGGCGTCACTCTCAAACACGGCGATATAGTATGCTTCGGCCACCTGAATGGAGCGAATCTGAAGCCCGGCGAGGACGTTGCTCCTTTTTTCTCCGATCTTAAGTACCAGGTAAGGTGACCGTTCCTAACCATACCCGTATGCCGTAAACCTACCAGATCCCATTTGCGTTGCACCTTGTTGGCTCTGATCGTCGCAGCCCGGCGCCGATGAGTCTCGCAGGCGCTTTCTTAATGCGTAAATCTCAATTCATACCCTCTAGCCACGACTAAGCCATTATTTGAGACATATGCACGTATGTATCCTGTTCGTGATCTTTATTTTTGCACAAACGAGGCAGCAATGCTTTTCCTACTTATTCCATTTGATACCGGAATCGGCTCTCGCCGCATATAGTCGCGTTTATTCAACATTCTAACGGAAGTTCTGTTATGTAAGTAGCTCGCTGACTCTGGTGGCCCTCCCACTGCCTGTGTTCCCCACATTGGTGGATTTTTGCTAGTTATAAACAGTTTGTCGTTGGCCATAACCTGCGACCCTAATAAGGGTAAGACGTATTTCCGGTAACACCCGGTTCGTCAACCCACATAACTTCTGGTTTGGCAGTAAGGTTTTACAAAGGATTGCTTGTCAATTGATGGCAATTTAGTCCCTATACGGGAGTTGTTTTATATTTGACAGAGCTAGGTACCTATAGCTAGGCGCAGTTAACTTGCAGTGCCTGCCTGCTTTTCGACACCTTCCCTGTGCGGCATGTTTGCCGGGGCCAGCCTAGGTTTACATTGAAACAGGACACAGTAAAATTGTATATGCATGTTATGTAGCCTATGGCGGGCAGACGTACTGGTGTTGTCTGCGTAAAAAACGCTTGATCGCCTGACCTATAGCGTTCCAGTCAATTGCTTGGCGTGCTTTAGACCCCCCCTCCAAGTAATAGCCGCCCCTTATTTTGATGAGGCAATATTTTTACCGTAGACACCGACGGCGATCTGTGTGTTGCCTATCAACTATCTCAGCCGTTTAAAGAAGGTGCTATAGGCTCTTTCAGATCCAGTATAACCTCTAGCCTTATCTTCACAGGTGATTGTTCTTGGCATTCAATTGGGGCAAGGGATTTGCGGAAAAATACTAGAAACAAATCACTTATGCTATACGAAAGCAGTTGATCACTAGGGGTGTGCTCTGCTGTATTCACCGAAGATGCCATGGTAGGGAGTCATTAGGAGCTCATCTCCGAGATCATATTCGGGAATCGGCGCTTGGGTGGTTGGGACGCCGGTCCTCAGCACTGGTATCACCGTCATTGCTGTTTCCCAGTCCGCAAATTTCAAAGCTGACTTCCACTAAAGAGGGATTAACTATACGTCTTACACGAACGTCCCAGGTAGCCAGGTGCTAGGACTTCATAGTTTTCTAACAAGTCTCACTTGTCCTAAACTTAAGGGCTGGTGTGATTACTGCCACCTAAATAACAGCGTCTTTGTAGGGTTGCTTCTGTAATATGCGGTGCCCGTGTTGTGCTTTTTAGAGCGGTGTCAAGGTAATTCCATTCCCACTTGAAAAAATGTGTCGTCAGTGGACCCGCGAATAACGCGGTTCCCCGCTAGGGCGTCCTGCAAACGGATAAATCTTGCATTCAGCCACATCCGGAGGGCTTCGTTACCATGCAACCCAATCGATAACATGAATAACAAGAGTGGAAATGGCAAATTTATTGCTCGGTTGACGGGTTGAACAAAACTGTTTTCTAGTTTGGAACGGGTGTGATCTAGGTCGTTCTTTTGGGGTTTTCAGAGATATGACAATACACCAATCTTTACCTGAGATCATATTGAAATGTATATTCAGAAAAATCGTATCGTATGCGTTGTTCGACTTGGTTTGATACGACTTCGATCAAGTCTAGTCTGGCCGGCCTCACTTTTCACGAGGTGTCTGGAGTTTTCGGTGTAGGCTTGTTCTCAGTAGTTGTGCGGATTGTTTTGCCGAGGTTCTCTCCTACGCTTTGACTCATTAGGGCTTGAATGCAAGGTACTGGTGTTGAGTGAACGCATTTAGGTCATATTCATAGTCACCGTATCACAGAGCCATCATGGGACATGGTTTTACAGGGTAGTCGTACCTCTGCACGCAGGTAGCACTATCGCTTCCGGTCCCCCGACAAATTCTTCCCTAGAGATAGAATTGCTTGCTTCGCAGCTCCTTTTCGTCGAAAATGGATCCAGTATCTGGTCTAGGGTAGCTGGCAGACAGACCTACGGACCGACGCGTCCTGTTCCCACATAGCCCGTTACTCCGTGGTCGGATGCCTTTTCAACTGCGCAGTCGACTCGGTATTCGCGGAGTCTAGGCACCACAGTTGCCCCGTAATAACTGAAGTCCGCGAATACATGATACCCCTTTAAAACGCTTCTAACTGCCTATTATAATGTCCTAGTACCAAATGGACCTCAGACTATGGCTCTAAAACACTTTGCTATTATTTGCTGAGTTTAAATTAATAGTTGAGAATTAGCAAACATTGTCTATCAAAAAAGTCTCATAAGTCACGAAAACGAATAAAAGTAATTAATAAATGTCTTAGATATGTTCTACGAAGAAAATCTACTATTAAACCGCGAATAAGCAGATGCTAACTGTACTGTAAATTACGGAATCCGCACTAGGACTGACGATCCGCATGCAGTGGAGAAAATAAGTTCTGTTTCTTCTATGCGTACAGTTTACTCGAAATATATTATATCTTGCACTCTCTGCAAGCCTCATATCTCTGTAAAAACCAAAATTATCTCCAATTGTCTCAGGCTGACCAATTATTTAGTTTGAGAAGTTTGTGCCTCTCACGTTATACACTTATCCGACGCTGAATCCACCCAACACTTTGGTAGTAAAACTGCGGCAGAGCTTCCAATGCCGAAAACTAATTCATGTGATGCATGCACATAGTGGCGTCTCCCATTACCTAGCGCACCATCATAAACACTTATGCTTTCTGTGCACTCAAGGTCTACCTGGGCAACCCAAACCAGACCAAGGATTCCACCGTTCCAGATTCAACACCTGCCACTGTTGGCAAGAGACAAAGGCAGACTAGCCAGTCAGGAAGCCTCGGTTCACCCAAGGCTGGTGATACGGGCTCGCCGGAAACCAAAGTGTCGCGTTCGACCAACAAGAAGACCACCAATTCACACAAGTCTCGTCGCCTCGAGCCTCAGGACCGCAAGGCTGAGCATGACGATGAGGAGGCAGGTGACAAAAGCAGCAGTAGTGAAGATGATCTTCTGACTGCCGCCTCAAAACGCAAGCTGCCAACGTCCAATCTGAGCAGTTCCATTAAGCAGCAGAAGAAGAGCAACGGTGAACGCCAAACCAAGCGACATTCAGTGGCCCCCTCCTCCCCACCACCATCGTCGCACTCGAAGAAGTCCTCCTCCAGCGGCGGCGGAGGCCATCAGCACCATGGGACAAAAGAACGCAAGTCTGGCCGTTCAACAGGTACCTCATCCTCGTCAGCCGCCAAGCGCAGCAAAACTGAAAACGATGCTGAGCTGGACAGCGGAGGCGAACTGTATCACTACGACACTGAGGAGTGTTCTGCCCGCCCCTGCAAGCACCCACAGGACGTTTCGATCGACTGGATTCAGTGTGACAAGTGTTCCAATTGGTACCACCAGGTCTGTCTCGGCCTGAGGGCATCCGAAGCCAATGTGGACGTTTACTACTGTCCCTACTGCAAGAAGAATTAGGTCTTCACCGGTTGTTCTACCTATGACCGGAACCGCATACCACCCGAATATTGTTTCTTGTATATAGACAATGTCACCCGTACCCTCCGCCCTCTATTGGCTACATCATGTCTGCATTGTACGCTGACAGCGCATCGACATGCCTCTGACCCCAGTGGTCCCTTGCGCCTTTCCCATACCTGGTCCTCACCCACCCCAACATGTTTGCAATTGCGATGCTTCTACCTTCCTCAAAATCCTGCCCTTATCCACTGTGCATTTTAACCTAGCTCACGTTGGAAGCTCACCGGTCGTGTTGTCGTTCACCCTCCCTCCCCCCTTAGTCCTCTTGCAGATAGGCAACTTCAGGATCCACCCCAGCCCCTCTTGCATATATATACCATCATACCACCCAGCTCGCCGGGGAACCCACGACCACCCAGTGAACGATGACAGCTTGGGCCTATTTAATTGACTCTATCTGTTCCTACTGCTTCTACTCCCGCAATTTCTGGTGCATGTTCGCTACCTTTTTTCTACACGCCCTACCTGTGTCAGTCCGTCCTCCCTCTGACGGCATTGCGACTGCAGCCGCCCTGTTTTTTTCCATTGTTTTGTTACTCAACCATCCGATGGACTCTGATAATATTTTCGCCGCTTCCCCGACAGACTCGTGCAAGCGCGTTCTGATGTTTTGTGCCCCCTCATGCTACCGCTCTGGAGGTGAGGCAACGGAAAAATATGGAGGAAATGTAGGCGCGGGGTGGAAGAAGGACTTCCTTGTATGGCTTCTACTGCGTTTTTCCTCCGAACACTGAATTATATTCATCGTTTACGTGTTTGTCTATTCCCTCTGTGCCCTGGTGGACTCCATGTATATGTGCTGACGACGTGGCTACCGCCAGGGGAAGACGGGCTCATCCGTAACGTGGCCACTGACTATTCAGCACGTCCACGGGTGGCGGATGGTGGAACAATATACAGCCAATTAAACCGACTCTCGGGTCTGGAGGAATAAACAGTTACGAACCCGCAGCGACAGGGTTGTCTGGACGCTGAGATACTATAAAGCCTGGTGCCGGCCCTGACCTGACTACCAGAAACTGCCAGCAGCACCCCCACTGGGATCTGCAGGTCTGGCGTCTTGACTCGATGAGATGTTGAGCTCATTCCTGGTGACTTCGGCTTGTCTTCAAAGAAGGACGCAGAGCGAACTGAGGGCGGTACCACGGCGTAGATCTCGTTGATCTTGCTACAGGTCTGTTCACGGTATTTTCGGGCGGTTTCAGTAGGTATGGCTGGGTGCAGGCCCGACCCAGCTGGATTTCAAAATAGGTCTGGGTGCATCGCCTCGGTATTTACCCTACGGCGCATCCTCGAGTTCCTCCGAGACCACCAGTGACCGACGACCGTCTTCTTTGTCGACCGCATAACGGTGCCCGATTCCCGTCCATCGTTAGTCCCCGAGAAGGACAGTGGAATAAAACACCAGGACATTGCTCTGATCAGGGTCAATGTGTGAGTTCTAGTCCTCAACAAAGTCTCAGCTGTTCGACCGGATTTATGGAAGGGCGTTAGTTTTAATGGTGTTGACTGTACACCCTGACGTCGAGTGACTGTCCTCGACTACGCAGACAATATTGCCCTACTGGCAACCACCTATGCTGACCCGTAGGCGAACGGAGTCACCAAACCAATCAGCTTATGCCTATACTGGGAAGGCCGAGATGCCTCCCAGCTGCATTACTGACCGGGAGAGGACATCCCCTGGGGCTGTTGACCGTCGTTTTGGAGACGCAGGTCGTTCCAACTACTCCCTCCCCCAGGGGGGCGAAGTCGCTGACAAATTGAGAACGCAAAGCCGACAACCTCGCTCGAATCGATGTTGTTCGCAGAATTCCCACAATCCCTGGTAGGCGTCTATGGACTCAGCACGGTTTCTATGTCGCTGCTGCAAGGATTCTTACCAGGCTGTGCACGTGGAAGACGAGCGGAGACTGAGGCAGCTTGGCCACCGTTGACTGCGAGCCATTCGCCGAGTAAATTACACCGACTTATCAAGTGGGACAGTCCGCACTCATTGCTATAACATCGCCAGGATAACTAGAGCCAACCAAGAAAGACGAGGCGGATGGTTTGAGCACTTTCATCGTCGTCCGCCTGATGAGGTCAGTGGTACTGTCCTTGATCCGCAGCTGATGCCTACCTTGAGAGGTCGAAGAGGAGCCGAGCTTAAAACCTGACTCAGCACTGTCCATCCAGTCATGGAGGTGGTTCTTGGACCTTCGGTATTTGGTCACTGTCGCCAGACGAGAGA